GAGCTGCCAGTCTGGCGCAGCTCCGTGGGGAAGACTGTGGCTCGGGGCAGCAGGAAGCCCAGCAAGGTGACTTTGGCAGGTTTTGTAGGGCAGTTTACACATCCAGGCCACAGACCCGATAATCCCCTGCAGTGCTGTATTAGCCTCATTCAGGCGCTTATCAGAGCTCCTGGCGCGGATTCAGCGCCGGGCGCTGTGTGACCCGCTGGCTCTCAAATCATGGCACCTGCTGTGCCCAGGCTTTCTTTGGCCAGGGTGGCTTTGATTGCCTAGGTCTCCCCAGCGTGAGGGCAAGTGCATCAGGGACACGCACGGGCGCCTCCTCAGGCTCCTGGAACTGTGCACCTGTCCCCCTCCGAAATCCGCCAGTACCCTCGGGAATGCGGTCCGCAGGCTCTGGTGTCTGCACGCAGTGGCTTTTCTGCACAGTAACAGCTCATGGGCAACACAAGCATCCAGAGCTGAAGAGATGCTTACCGGCCTGTCAGAAAGCGCTGGCTGACGAGAGGTGTTAAAAAGCAGTTTTATTAATTGCACTGTTCACTTACAGTAAGTAAATACATTCTGCCATCTGCTTTCTTTTCATTCGCTACAATTCATTGTCTTGTACTTGTATAGTCTTTTTTATGATTGATGCAATATTTGCTTGTCTGGATCTAAATTATCTGTCCGTTGGTAAATAGGCATAAAGTTATTCCTCCTGCTTTCAAAAGCAGAGGATTCTTGCCATTGCTCATTTTTTATAAATGTGCAATTCAAACTGCCATGTATTCTCACAGGCTGGGATTAGTACTAATCTTAGATTGTTTCACCTACATTGCCAGCCCAGGCTTAGTGCCATTAGTCACTGCTTAGAAAAAAATTCAGCCTCAAGATTTTCAAGCACTTTGCCTGCCATCTTCTCTCTCCTCAAGGGTCAGTTCGTTCCTGCCCTGTAACACATCTTCATATATTTTCTTTTTTTTTCTGTGTTTTCTGTTCAAGTGCTTATTTTCTTTAAAGGGTCACTAACATGAGAAACAGGTTCCCACAAGGCACAGTGTGTGGGGGTCAAAGGGAGGTGGGAAGGTGTGTTAGTAGACTTTCTGTAACCTTGAGTAATCATTGACAAACTCGGTGTGCTTCTGTGCAAGGGACAAACAGCCCAGCCACCCTGTTGTGGGTGCTGAGTCACTTGGGGGTGGTTTCAAGAAGACAAGACTCTTAGATCATTATGATGCTACCAAACAGCTGTGCCACATGGGCTGACCAGCCTTGTCTCATGTGTGAGCTTTACAGTGGTAAACAATTTCCACTAGGCTTCAGAGCATTGTGTGACACTGATATATTTCCTCAAAAGCCTTTTCCCTTGCTGTTTCCTCTGTGCCGATGTGGACAGAAAGCAACTTCATTACCATAAATGCACAAACAGTCTGCTTCTTCGAGTGTTTTAAGGTGGAAGATGAAATTGAAAAGAATTCTCACAGTCTCAGGATACAACTTGGCACAAGAAACCAGAGTACAGTCTGATATTTTAACTTCTTCTCTGCTCGCCTAGAGTGTTTGCAATGTGCCTGCAAAAATGTCAACACTACAGTGCCGTTTTTTATGAATCTGAACATAAAGTAAGTGCTCAGATTAAATTGTAGTTCAACTGCAGCCATGATGTGCAGAACAGACAGTTTGACAGAGGAGAAAAGAGAGTTTGCACCGTGAGAGCCACTCTGATTAAGTGACAGTGCAGTTTTTATTCACATCCCCCTGCACAATGTAGTGCTTGCAAAAGCTGCTACCCATGTCCTCTCACTAATCCATTCACACATGACATGCCAGGTCAGCAAAGTGCTGCTTCATCTGTGCATTTTTCGCACTCAACGGGAAATGCAGTGCAGCTGCAAGCAGTGTCCTGGGCTTGTGTTCGCTTCAGCTTTCCCTGAATGAGGGTCCCAGAGGTCTGCCCTGTCCCAGTTAGAGTAGACGTGGCATGCTTGTGCTGCAGTGTCTGACAGACGTGTCTCAGGCGCGTCTGTTGCTGTGGAGATGGCAGGTAACCCTGTCGGTGTGTAAAACCTACACAGGATCTGAAAAAGAAAACAATGCAGCAATTGTGCATGTTCAGCTGGCTCTGGTACAAGTGCAGAAAATTACATGAGGTTATAAATTTGTGGTCGTCCATAATTGCATGTGATTTAGAAATTTGTGCCGAGATAATGGCGCTAATGATTATACATTCCAGACAGTCCAGGTTTGCAGAGTCTGGTCTTACTGTACTGCTGCTTTGTTGTGCTTCCTAGAAGCTGAGTACCTACTTATACGGAGTTGAAGTCTGTGTACAGAGCCACCCTGGATATTTTCCTGGTTATTAATGGCTCAGGCAGCGCTGCCCCAGATAATCACCTGGGAACATACCATCTTGCCTTGCCTGCTTTAGACTAGATAACCACTTGAAAGGTACCGCCGTTTTGGAGCAGGGATTGTCCTTTCCTTTCTTCTGATTTGTACCCCATCAGTGCCTTCAGACTCCATTAGGAGAGCTAAAGCGAACACCGAGATAAGGTTCTCGGAGCCCATCGTCCTGTTTGCTCTCCAGAGGCACGTGTCCTGTTCACCAGCTCCAGGAATGGAGATGGTATCTGCAGGTGCTTCACTGGAGCTTGTAGGACAGCCTGCCTCTGGGAGGTCAGCATCACGGACCACTGTAAAAACCTGAGTCTGCTGTCGAACCCGACTCCCCCTCATGCTTCTGCACAGACGGGAAGCAGAGGTAAAAAGTGCACGTGCTTCCGAGCATGCCTGGGCTTTCCCAACGCACGTGTTGGCTGTGTGTCAGTGGGAGTACAGACAGGGCTATCTCCTCTGTCAGCCAGCTCCTTCCAGGTGAATCCCAGTAGCGATTCCCCTGGTAGCGTTCAGGCAATCCAGTGCCAGTCCTGCCTCATCCTGTGGCATAGAATGGCCCAGTTACTTTCTTGTGCTTTGCCCTGGAAGTTAGTATTTGCCCGATCCCTGTGCCATTTAAATTGTGGGCTTAACCATTGAGTTTACTCTGTAATAAATGATCACATTCCAGATAATAATTCCTTTCTGTCCTGGTTGTATTGAGACTGGTACTCTGGGGGCATTAACATTCCTGGGGAATATTGCCTGTTCTCAGTTCCTACAGCAGATATGGAGACACCTCCATGTCCTAAAAACCCTGGCCTGCGTGATTTTTATTATGTTAGAAGTTATTTTCTGGGGGGTGGGGGGTGGGACAGCAGTTTTAATTAGCATTCTTAGTGTTACACGGTTCCTATAGGAAAACTTTGTTAATGACAAAAGTGCTTTAAAGCCACAGAACTGAAATTCTGGAAAGGTCTGGAGTTTTTTTTTTCTGACTATTAATCTTTTAACTTACATGTGTTGATTAAGAACCATGTAGGAGAAGCAGGATTAGAAACAGGCCTTCAAGTTGTACTGCTGTGCACCTGTTCCAGTTACTGAGGCACCATGCACGGGCCCTTGAAAACAAATCATGTTTTTTTGCAAGAAGAAACCCATAGGCTGTGTGTGTTGCTCTAATGAAACATTATTTAATAGTGTCCCCAGGGTATAGCTAAAGTACTCACGCTCACAACATTTCCCAGCCACACACAGCCCAGTTGTTACAAGTGATCACAATAAACAACTACGGGCATGACATCATGAGCATGTCAGCTAGACAGCAGGGCAGCTGTATATCGTGTCTGAAACGCCCCCACCCCCAGGTCCTCTTCACAGAGTGGCACAGAAAGCCGCACAGCTTTGCTTTAAAGTCACATACTCAAAGTCACAGACGGTAACTCACAGGGTCGCTCAGACTGACTGCTTTAGTCATCCCGAGCTTCACAGGAGAAGTCAGATGTTCGCTAGACAGGTTACTCGGCTACAGTAGATTTACGATTCCAGCAAGTGCTCATCAGAGCCCTCCAGGTCCTTCAAAAGCACATTTCCGTGATTTACGCAGGTTCAAGGGGTGGCCGATGATTTTAAGAAGCTCGTGAAAGTCCTGACTCACAGCCTTCTGTGAGTCTTTCTGTCTGAAATCACTTATCAGAAGTGATCATATACTTCTGACTTGGCATCTGGTACTTGCACTTTCGCCATATAACTGAGGCACAGGAGGGATTGCCCTCCATAGTCAGCCAGGAGCGAGACTGAGACTTTGTCTGTATGGGTAAGGAAGTTTGTTTTGGGATGTTCTGGCTGTCCAGGTGCCAGTACATCCTCTCCCTGCTTCATGTAAGACTCAGCCTACACAAATTCAACTTCATGTAAAAATCTCCCAGGGATGGAGTTACAGAAAGTGTGCGTTACATATGTAAAGAGAGGTCAGCGCATCTGAATGGCGAGGTTTAGAGATTAGAGATTCAGGATGAGAAGAAAGAAACTGTATTAACAAAGATGAATAAAAATGTACTTCATCTTCAGATCCCAGTTTTGATTAAATATGTATCTTTCTAAGCCAAATTTCAAAAGCTGTTTTGTGAAACAGGTTTGTTTTTTCCTGTTTACTGTTGTCCAGTCCAGTTTTCCACAAAGTGCAACTAAGCATTTTCGAGTTCAGTTTGGAGCTGTATGTGTATGAAGTAATGATCCAGAAGAGCACTAATTCAGTCCTTCATTACAGTGCTTCAGTTTTGAGTTGTACATATGTACAGCGACTAAAGTTCAGCAGTCATTGACACCCCTGTTCACTGCAGTGACGACAAGGTGTCAGTGTTCATTGTAAAAGACCTGCCGAAATGTCTGGGCTTTGTTTTTGCAAGGCCTACAGGCACAATCCCATTACGTGTCTTAATAGCGTGTGGCTTTTATTTAACATACTAGTTGTGGAGAAGTGTTTACTGACATTTCATTTCTATTAAAATTAAATGCCAGTCAGAATATTTATTGAAGCTTTTTGTTTGCATAATATTTTTCCCGACTGAAATTGTGATTTCGTAGTAGTTTGTGAGAAATGGTAATAAGTTTCTGTTGTTTCTGACTTTGTCTGTCCACAGTGTTTTCTCTATTGCTGGGGCCTTGAACCGATGGCAGAGAATGTCAACGACTAATAACATAGCGCAGGCCAGGAAGCTGGTGGAGCAGCTCCGAATCGAGGCTGGGATCGAGCGCATCAAGGTGAGCCTGTCTCTGGCAGAGTGCAGCACCATGCAACACCAGCATCGGCATAAAATGAGTGGCCTGGATATTGCTCTGAAATCTGCAGCTCAGTACGTTACACAAAGCAGAGCACACCCCAACACCACAGTACCCAATGCTGGACCTTCATAATGTGTCACGTGAGGTTCAGACAAAGGAGAAAACAAAGACCTTGTGTTAATCATTTAAGCCCATTCAATCCTCAGTGCAGAAGGGTGATATTTATACTTCAGGCACAGAGGTGTGAGGACTGTTTAGCTCTGTTTGGGGTTGCTATACTTTTCTTCAGTTTAGAACAGGCAGTTATTTTCTTCAGTCCCATACGCAGAGAATTTGGAATAGAGAGTTTTTTTAAGACTTGGGTGAGTCTTGCAGCAGTTCCCACACCCACAGCGCAGAGACGTTCTTCGTGTGCCACACCCACGGGCACCTGGCAGCAGGCTGGCGCTGCAGTCCGCCCTGTCTGGGCCGGTCACGCCCCGCGGTGACCCCTGTGTCGACCTCGTCACCCCCATTCAACCCGTGGACCTTCCCTGAAAGCCAGGGGGTGGAAAAAGAAGAAATGAAAGCTCGAGTGTATGTGTGACCTGGTTGAGCGTGTTATATAGATTGTTATATATATGGTTGTGTGAGAATGGAGAGCGTGGAAACTGAGCTCCACAGAAGAGCTGCGCCACAGCATCACCACCGACCTCAGAGCAGGAACCTCATTCGCTTTTGTTAGCAACCTGGGGCCGTAAGAGCAGACAATTTAAGGCCAGAAGGTGCTGCACATGCTGGTTCACTGCACTCAGATTCATCGCAGGTCCAAGGCTTTTAAACTTTGGAGATAAAAGTCTAGGTCTAAGTCTAAGTCTAGGTCCTAATAAACAGAAATACGCAGAAGCTGCACTGTAGCCAACCCCAGGTCTGGTTCCCAGTCAGAGAGGCAGGATCTACCCAGGCAAGGAGTGATGGACAACAGGAAGTACAGATTGCAGAGCCGTAAGAGTGAGAGCTAACTTTGGAGTTCCCTGACTCGCTGTGGCCTGTTACTTTCAAACATGGAGGATGAGATATTTGTTTGTGAATGTTTCGATTTTGTGGATGTTCTGGTAGCTCGTTACATTTTAACAGATTGTGCAGACGTTCTCGGCCAGTGACGGCGATGAAGGATTCCAGTGGTTGAATTGAAATGATTTCAGTTTAGTATGGTGTCTCATTTTGTTATGTCATTCGCATGAATGTGAAAGGTCATATCAGCAACATCACAGATACGGCCGGGCTCTGCCACTTTGTAATACTGCAAGTGACAACTTTGGCAGCTGGTCCACAAGCCAGGAGTGCTAACGGGAATCAGCAAGTGTAATCCCGCCCTCACGTCAGTGTGATTCCAGCGCGGAGGCTGAGGAAGGCTGGGCGCTGACATCTGTCTCTCTCTTCCTCGGCAGGTCTCCAAGGCAGCGGCCGACTTGATGAACTACTGCGAGCAGCACGCGCGCAATGACCCCCTGCTGGTGGGAGTGCCCGCCTCCGAGAATCCTTTTAAGGACAAAAAGCCTTGCATCATTCTATAGCTCCTCCCCTCCATCCCTGGTTGACGCCCCCTCCCCACCCCCCCCAACACATACAGACATACAGACACACAGACACACTCGGAGTCACGGGGTGTTGGGAGTGTTCTGTCAACACCACCTATGTAACCTATGACACATCTCTGAATTAAAACAACACTCTTGAGACCAAGGGGGAAAAATTGCACTTGAGTGACAATAGGGAGAATCTAACAAAAACAGCAACAATATAGGAAAACTCTGATTCCGTCTCATTGGTGATAGGTGAATTCTGGGCCTCAGAGAGATTCACAGTGATTCACTAACAAGGGAGGGTCCAAATTTTAGGGGCAAAAGTTTCCTAAAGTGGGAGTTCCTAAAGTATAGTTTGAGGTGATGGGTGTCTCGGACGGCTCGGAGTTGGATCTGCTTGAATCTGCCAGCCCTGCGTGGCTGGCTGGCTCAGTCAGACAGCGGCGCGCTTGCCTGGTGTTAGTTACTTCTCCCGTCTGTTAGTTTTGCCAGTGGCTCTTATTTGTGGAAGTGTGTTGCCAAACTGCTGAAGATGCACCGTCCCTTTCTCCTCCCAACTCATGAAGCGGTGGAGACAGCCAGAGGTGCGCGTGCTGCGCTGCTCGAGCCAGGGGTAGCTGTGGAAGTGGGTGCCAGGCGCTCGAACCCGGGCATGCTTGCCCGCCAGCCTGCTAGTGCCAGCACACACCTCTAAGATTCTGATCCCTGCAAATCTCCGGAGGGGGCAGCTGCAGAATCTTGTACATAAGAACAAAATAAATGAATAAACAATGCCTTACAACTGAACTAGAAAAGAGTCCACAATTAGGTTAATTCAAAACGTAAGCTTTTTTTAAAAAAAATTCAGCCAAGTACAGTTCATGACATTTTTTTTAAATGTTTCTACAAATACGGTTATTCAAAGTCCAGGTGTGTGAGGCTGTAGATCGTATAGTATAAAGCTAATGCATCAGTTCATAGTACCAGATCCTAAATAACACATTTTGTTTTTTGTGTAAGAGAAGTTGAGCTGAGTTGTAAAGAGACGTTAGTCTAGGAGGGAGCACAGGCAGACAGTGGGATTCGGAGGCCTGGCACAGAGGCATGTCAGAGCGAGACAGCACCTTTGTAAGCTGTAGAGGACCAGTTTTGAAACTGCTGGAAGCTGTTTCACCAAATTATTTAACTTCCACTCCGCTCTCGATGTACACTGTGCGATCTTGTGTCGTGAAACACTCCCCACACGCACACAATAACAGACGCCATTGTGAGAACAAGCTCCAGGATTGAGCGAGAGGACATTTGGAGTGAACTTTCACCCTGGGTCTGGGTGGAGACCTGGGTTTGCGGCACCTGGACTGTTGTTTGGCAACAGTAGACATCTTCGTGCAGTACCAGCCTCAGCATCAGAACACTATTTAGCCAGCCCTGTCTGGAACTGTCCCTTTATTCCTCTAGCGTGGCCTGCAGTGTTAGGACAGCATAGGACGTCCGGCCTACAGCTGTAGACTTCTCATTGCGGTGTCACCTGCACCCATAGAGCCATAGAGCACTTGCTGCTGGGGAAAAAAACAGCCATGGCCAGGCTTTAAACAGCTCCTTGGGCCCCCCAGACTGTTTTAAAGAGGACCTTGAGAAACCAAGGTCAAGGCCACGTGTGAGCTCTTTTTCCGCAGTATCTTCCACGCTGCGCGGAGGTGACACCCCGAACAGGGTGTTGCCTGTGAGGAGACCTGAATTGGAGTCGGTGAAGATAATTCTGTTCCGCGTTGCCACGGAGCGTAGCGGCACACCCACTTCGCCTCCCTTCCGCTGCCTGTGCGCTTCCAGAGCCGGCCTGCCCAGTTGTGCCACAGTGCCCGCTGGTCCCGGCCGCTCAGCGCGACCGGAGTGGAAGGTGTGGTATTTCTTCAGGGGTGAGCCCAGGGGTATTTCTTCAGGGGTGAGCTTGTGCCCCACACCTGGGGCACAAGCCAGCCCTTTCCACCACAGAGGAAACGGTTGCATTTCCCATTCAAAATTACAGTTTATGAGAATTCACTGTGACCTTTTTTTAAAAATTTTTGGTGCTCTCTAAAATGCAAATTGCCTGCCACATGTAGAGGATTCTCCACCCCCCTCCCACACACACAGTCGCCTTCCTTATACAGATTTACAGTTGTCGTTTTTTTTTAAGAAAACAGCTCTAGCAGAAGGGTTAGCAGCTTTTCCTTCCTGTGGAAGCCCATCCAGTATTCCTCTTCCAGCCAGCAGAGTGAGGGGGGCTTCGGGCCATGTTAGTGAGAGCTGCGGAGCTCAGTCCCAGCTTCACTGCGGAGGACCAGCGCCGGCTGCTTCCTCTCAGGCTGAACCCCAGAGATATGCTGGCTGGGCTCAGGGCTCTGGCCCTTTCCTGCAGCCAGGCTGTTCCAGACAGGCAGAGCCTTCAGACTGTTCTCATTGACACTTGCTGGTAGAATGCAGATTGATAATCTTCCAGTTTCACCTGGATTCTCATTCACACCATAAATACAACAAGGCAATAAATAACAGTTCTTCTTTCAGTTGCCCATTGCAGTGGCAGAGTCATAATTTTAAAATATAGGATGGAGGACTCTTTATTAAAGGCTGAAATTTAGCAAACTTGAAATCAGAGTTGTTTGACTACAGTTGTTGCCTTGTTTTTCCTTACATACATTATTTGGCAAATGTAGAAAAGGGTAATATGACAGCCATGAAGCTTTGAGTCGATTGACTTTAATGGACTATTAAAACATACACTGTCCTTTACGGAATGTATGTTTGTTTGTCTGCCACTTCTATGACAAGGCACGTCCTTGCTTGATCACTGTAGCCTACAGCAAAGCCAGGAATGCTGAAAAGGTTTAGAATATGCAGGGTTAAAGGACCACTATAGGGAAGAACGTGGCAATACTCCACTGCCTAAATATTTTTTGGAAAAGCTTTTTCAGATCCTGGTAGGAAACCTTCCCTTTTCCCAAGTGAAACGTGGATAAGGAATGTGGAAATGTCAGCCAGTGCCCCAGGAACGCTGCAGATTTGCCAAGGAATTAGAGCCAAGCTGTGCTTGGCTGGTGCAGGAACACTGACATCTTCAGATCTTAAACCTGGAGGCACTTGTCCGTTTGTATGGTTTGAAGTGCACTGCTCCTGCTTTTCCTTAATGGGCTTGTTGTTTCCCTCGTCCTGGAAAGTGTACTGTAGTGCGCTGTCACACCTCACTGGGCCTGCTGCTTCTTTCCTGGTGGGTCCCACACAGGCTTTGCTCCAGCACTATGAAATTGGACTCCCCAATGAGCAGGAAAGATAGCAGTTTTATGGAACCCTAGAGTTTGACCCTGGTTGTCTGCATATGATTTGTGTAATAGATGCGATTTTTCTAATAACCTTCAGAAAGTAGTGGCACACTTGGGCAAACTAAGTGGACAGTGAGTTAAATCTTTTTCCCACAGTCTTTAAAGATGCAGTAATTCCATGTAGAAGAAACTTTTACCCAGATCAAACGTGACCATGAAATTTGCTGGCTATCAAAAAGTAATGTCCGATTAAGGCTTTTCCCCTTGCAAGCAATGGAATCTGCTTACTTCCTGCTAATTCAGGGCAGGGGACATTGCAGAACTGTGCCCAGACACAGAGTGTTGCCTGAAGGCCGCATTACTGTTGAGGGTGGCCTGTGGCCCTGTATAGTTCATGGGAGATTCTGCAATGTCTTTTTTAATGACAGTTTTACTTTCATAACTGAATTTTGGGGCGATCAGTAATGCATTAGATAGAGCAATTCAGGAAATTAAGGTTCAGAAAGTTTTTTTTTCTGCTAACAAATTTGAAAACTTTTGGATTAAAACCCCCAGGGCTCAAAATTCCTGAGGTTTGGACAGTGGCATCACTGCGTAGGTGACACACCAGCATCTTTTTCCTGCTGGAACATCTAGCATTTCTAGCAAAGACATTCCCAGTGCTCATGGGTGCAGAGCCGCTGTAGGGCCAGTCGGTGAGAGCTGTCTTGTCTGAGGAGTTGCCCAAACATATGGGCTACACACACAGTACGGGAGGCGTTCCGCTAGGCTGAGCTGATGTATGTCAACTGTGTCACAGGCTGTAGAATCATTTGTCACTTAATGGGAACTATGAGATGATTAATGAACATGGGGAGGTATGAGCTGCTGGGCTGCTAGAGCAGACTGCAGAACTGGAAGGGCCAATTTCTGGGGAGAAGGACCCAGAAAAGCATCACTGGAGTACTTGTTATCTGCAGATCTTTGCCAGTATGTCCCAGATTTTGCCCGTTCTATACTACAAGTTCTTCAGGCTACCTCTTTTTAATCGCACTGTGTGGTGGTGTTTTTATGTTGAGAAAATTCATCCATTTTTAACAAAAATGGGGAGAGTGCATCTTATTAGAGAACAAAAGAACTGCAAAAATTGTTTTAGATTTTGAAATGGGGAAGAAAAATATGTATTAAAAAGTGGCTTTGTGTTCAGACAAGTGAGCTGTCGTGTTCATTGTAGGCCTTCATGACAAAAGACACAACACATTTTACCTGTGCCACTTCTTGGGTTTGGTGTGAAATGTGCCAGTTATACTGTAACTTGGCGAATGGAGGGGGTGTTAAAATCAAGACGAGGCAAGTCGGCTCTTCAGTGGCGTCTGTCTGGAGCATTAAGAAGGAGAGCAACCTGAGTTCCAGTGCGCAGGCGCTCTCTGGCTAGGGCCCTGGACACTCCAGTTCAAACCATAATAGCAGCTCTTCTGCCAGTCACAGTAAAAAGCAAGACACTGGTCTTTGGTAAAGGGGAGCCATGAGGCAGGACGCTGTACTGAAACAACCAGATTCAGGCCATTCTCTATCATTGCCATACTTAGTCCATTGCAAAAGAACACCTGGGTTTTCTTTAAATGGAAAATTGATTGTAAATGAAGAAATGGTGCAGAAATGCCCTGACCTTTCATTCTTAACCTTATTCCTTTTACAGTATATACCTTAAATTGCATCCTTTTGTTTTTGCATTGACTAAAAGAAATAACATTATTATCATATTGTACAGTATTTGTAAAATAAGGGTAAACCACTTTCTG